AGTCTTCTTTCACTTGCCTTTCCCTCCTCAACATTATGTTTCTAATATTTATCCATATTATATGTAGTTCATTTCTCTGCAATGTCATGTTGCATTGGGTGGACATACACAATTTATCTATCTGTTTTCCTGTTGGTGGCCTCTCGGGTTGTTGCTAGTTTTTTGCTATTGCAGACATTGTTATGATCTTATCTATGTCTCCGGTATACAAATGCCAAGTGCAAACATTTCTTTGGGCTGTACAGCTGGAAATGCAATTACTGGGTTGAAAGGTATGTGAGTGTTCAACTTGGCAAGATAATGCCAAACAAGTTTCCCAAGTAGTTGTGCCAGTTCACGCCCTAATAGGTGATCTTGTCAAACTTCTAAATTTTGCTAAACTAACAGGTATAAAATTGCATCATGTTGAAATCCTGGTTTGTTTTTCTATAAATCCTAATGAAATTAGCATTTTTCATATTTTTATTGGCCATATATATTTCCTCTTCTCTGAGAAGCCTGCTTCTTGCAAATAATTTTTTCTATTACTATTTCTAATGGATGCATAATAATCCACCTTATGGTTAAAACATAATTTCATCAGTCCTCTGATGAATATTTTCCCAATATTTTGCTGTTAGTAATTCGATTGACGTGATAAACATTCTGTGTACACCCAAGGTGATTTCTTTCAAGTAAATCTTAAAAATGGAGCAGGCTGATGAGGCAGATATGCTCGTTTTGAAAAGGTGTTGGTACACACTGACAATTTACCTTCTGAAATGGTGGCTGTGTACATGAAAGGGTTTTTCTTCTAAACCTGTGAAAAATCTAAGCAGCTTTATGGCCTTTGATAAAGTCACTCTAAAACAGGGAAAGCCTGAAAATATAGAGAGGTTCTGGGAAAGCTGGAAAGGGATGAAGCCATGCTCCTGATGGCTCTTCTGAGAAAGGCGGGGAGCATGCATGAGTTTGGAGGTGCATGTGTGGGTGTATCAGTCCCGCTCCAGCCAGAGGAGCAGACCCACCAGCAGATGTACACAGAGATTTGGCGGTATGCAATCACAGCAGCTGGTTGAGTGGTCTCTGTAAGGCTGTTACCGTGTGTCTGTCTGATGCTGTAGCTTGTAGTCCATGGGGCAGGCGATCAGGAATGGAAGATAGATGGAAAGATGGGGTGAGCAAGGGAGGCTGGACCCCACAAGCACGAGGGAGATGAGTGAGAGCCCACATGACAGGCGGAAACCCACATCAGTTCTTGTTTCCTCTCACCTTGGTGGCACGGGCATCCCGTGGAAACATTTGTCAAGGATCTAAACACGTACACCTGGCTTAGAGGTCCGAGAACCTGAAGGCAGGAAGGCAAAGGTGGCGTATCGCAGATCCAGCTACTGCTTCCCACCAACAAGGTGAGTTGGCACGTTAGCAACCTTCATGCACATTTGTGTGCGTGTGCGTGTGTGTGTGAAAGAGAGGGAGAGAGAGAGAGGGACCAGGCAAGGGTTTACAGCTGCAGGCATGCAACAGTATAAAAGGTGCTTTCTCATACATTATCCCGTTAAGTCTTCACAACAGCCCTGTGAAGCTGGAAGTGTAATCATTTCTAATTTACAGGTGAGTCAAATGAGACTCTGGAGGGAAAGTGGCTTGCTCAGTTATCCAGGGAGAGACGGAGTTGAGACTCTGTTGGGTCAGTCGATTTTGACAGCTGTGACCAAGTGCTCCAGGACAGGTTTTAAATTCTAAATCATGCAGTTTCCCTCCAACCTGTGGTGGTTCAAGTTGGCTCTTGGTATTTTTAGGGTTAAGAGATCAATGAACATATTATAATTTACACATGACAATAGCTTTTAATAGAAATCTAGACCTTTTTCATGGCTTATTTTGGTGATGTCAGCAATTTAATAGAAACATATATGAAATAGGTTAGCTTTTTTAGAAAATAAAGTGGAAGTGTTAAGTTATACTGTATTTATTATCTTTGATTTCTTTTGAGTTCAGTTGATCAGAAATTCCTTTCAGTGAAAATGGGAATGTTTGGCTCATAATTTCCACTCTTGAGAAATAAATGTGGGGATACTGAAAAGAGTATTTTATTCATTCATTTATTTACTTATGTAATTGACATATAACATTATATGAGTTTCACGTGTACAACATCATGATTCAATATTTGTATAAATTGCAAAATGACCACCACAATAAGTCTGGTTCACAGTATTTTTGTTTGTTTTATTTCCTTTGGTGGAGAGGTAATTAGGTTTATTTATTTAACAGAGCTACTGGGGATTCAACCCAGGATCCTGTGCATGCTAAGCATGCACTGTACCACTGAGCTATTCATGCCCCTGCTTCGCAGTATTTTAAAACACGAAGTCAGTCCTGGTTTCTTTAACTAGTCAGTGGTATGGAATGGGAAGAGAACTATACAAATTGCATTCTCTAGAAGCAGGTACTGAGACCCAGTTTGCATGCAAGATGATTAATACGGATCAACACCTGTAAAGGAAGGTGTTGGGAAGCAGGGGGTGGTGGAAAAGACCCCCCAACACAGGCCTGGCAAAGCCTTGGCCAATCCAATGGGACTGTCTGGAGGGAATGTTGTCCATCAGAGTCGTCTGTCCCTGTGTCAGGCCAAGAAGCAGGGCCTTTATGCCCTGCCTTGCGTGTGGGCTGCTCGGGCCAGAGTGAGACCTGGGTGAAGAGGCTTTTGGCGTCAACCTCATACTCTGCTGCCGGACTGCAGGTTCTCTTGGAGGGGATCTGGGTGGGGCACCTCCGCGGCGCCACAAGAATTGCTACAGATTAAGAAAGATTTAAGGAACATTAACCAAATGCAAGAGAGTCTTGATTCCAAGGAACAACCATAATAAGACATTTTTGAGACAATTAGAGGACTATAGACTGGGTGTCAAATGATAGTTAGGATTGATTATTCATTTTATGGGTTGTGATAACGGTACTGTGGTTATAATAGAAAATGTCTTTATCTGTTAGTGGTATACCCTGATGTATTTATGGCTGTATAATTAGATGTCTAGAAAAACAATAAAACAACACAAGTGGAAGGGTTATTGATGAAATAAGGATTATTGATAACCATGAAAGAGATGGGCTCACACAGGTATTTTATGGCATTCTGTCTATGTATATATTTGAAGTTTTAAGCATAATAAAAATTTTTAAAAACCCATCAGAGATCATTTAAGAATAAGTACTTTTCCCTTGGTAAAAGAATTATCATCATAATAGAGTGGGTCTATGTTATTGGGTGTTGCATATTCTAGAGCTAGACATATGAATCCAGAAAGAAGTCAAATTTGAGTATCATGTTGACCTGCCCTGTTCAGGAAGCAAAGCATCCTGTGGTGTCAGCCCATAGCTTTCAGTGGAGTCTCAGGATTGCCCTGTTAAGTGAGGCTAAATGAACAACTGAGAAAAGAGAGACTGAAATAATAGAAGGGCAGTTAGGCAGGGGAGAAAGGAAACTACTTAATTCTGAGAGCATCCAGCCACAGGCCTAGGTGCTTTCCACATATCATCTTACTAAATTCTCACGATAACCACCCCATGCTACTTATTCAAGACTTTCCAGATGATTCTCATTTTGCAAAGTAGAAAATTAAGACTCAGAAATGTGGGATGGGAGCTCATCCAAGTGCTGGAGTTGGGATTCAAAGTCAGGTGGTGTCCGGTTTCTAGGCCCTTGCACTGGGCCACTGGAGTTCAGAGCTGGTCACTTCCCTGACATCTGGCAGGACTCCTGGGGCAGCAGATTCTCCCTTCTGGAAAATGAGAGAAGTGCACATTCTCCCTTGGCCACTGGGCACACGCCCAGACCTTCCACAGCCTGGCATCTCATGCTCTCTGCTCATGACACTCCTGCCTTATTTCTGGAAAGTAGAAAAATTAGATAAGACAGAGAAAGATACTACTCTGAATCTTAATCAGAAGTTGTGAGGTTTCCCTCTTCCTTAGGGGCTTTTTCTGGCTTTTGTTCACTCATCTGCCCACCTTCAGCTAATGCCCTTTGTGATTTGTTGTCTGTCTGAAGCCGGTATACTTGGAGCTCCAATTGTTACCGACCAGGGCTCTTGAATTCCTTATCAATAGAAATTGATAAGAGGCCAGAGGAGAAGTTCAGGTAAGGCTTTACTGGGACTCATCAGCATGAAGGAGCCATAAGTAACAGGTTCCCTTGCTCACTCCCTGAGTGGGCAGAGCTGGCCCTTAAAGGGGTGAGGAAGGGCCCATGGGTTGGGCCAGAGGAGGGGCCTTGGCGGTGCTGTGTGCAGGGGTCATGCACAGTACCCTGCTTTTGCTCCTTCCATACCTCAGAAGTAGCAGTTGGATTTTTGGTCTTTTTATATCTTATTGTTCATAATTTGCCCCAACTGCCCACGTATGCAGTTATTTTTAGTCCCTTATCGGTTCTTTGTATTCTGTTGCTGGGGGAAACGTTTATCCAGGTGCCAGCACTGCAGCAAAGGGTCCCAGGTCCCTGTCTCCCAGTGAAGATATCTAACAACTCTCGGAGAGGGTCCTGGGAGAGTTTTATCACGAGATGGCTGTGGATGCTTAAGACAGAGCCTAAAAATTTATGGGGAAGGAGGAGGAGGAGGAGGAGCTGATTGATAGATACAAACAACCTTCGCTTTGCTAACTGGAGGCTGGTTTCTCCTATCCGGCCACTATTTCCGGCAAGCCAAGCCTTTGTAAGCAACAAGTTTCGCCTTCTGCAAAACCCACCAATCAGCATTCATTCTTCAGCATACCTTATCTGCATAACAACTGCCGTCCCCCGGACCTGAGTGAGAACTACGGGCGGGACCGTTCATCCCCGCCCCTCTCTGTTTCAGACACGCTCCTTTCACGTTCAGTATACCCACCAATCAAAACTTACCTCTCAGTACCCCTCATTTGCATAAGAACCCACCAATCAGCTCCCACCCAAGGCGATAAATAACCAAGCCGCTACAAGGTGCTCGGGTTCCAGTTTAAGTGTGGGCTCCATTTCGTAGTTTTTCCGAAGTTGGTCAAGTCCTTGTGGTTGAGCTGTCTCCTTTCTTTCTCTCTGACTGTGACACTTCTCCTACGTCCAGGCTGTGGAAAATGAAGGAGGGATAAAGGGAAAGAGTAAAATCAAGGCGCGTGAGCTGCTGCTTAAAGTTCACGACCAACATTCCAATAAGCAAGAAGAGATTGCGCCGGCGCACCAGAGATGATGAAGGGAAAGTGCATTTCTGCAGAGGACGTCGGGAGTGATCTTGCCGCTTGCTCCCAACCGCTGTGCCCAGCTCCAAACCGGAGCCCGCACCACCGCTCCCCTCCGAAAGGGCTTGCTGCAAGTTCTGTGCATAAGCCGCTCTGTGGTTAGCCTGTTGTACACTAGTTTATTCCCAAGGCCTCAGCGCCTCGTCAGAAGGTTTTTGTTTTTGCCCCTTACGGTCTTGGCTGGAGAACGCGTCAAGGAATCCAGGGAGGAGACCACCAGTAACAAACTGACACAAAGTACTTTTAGATAATTTTGCTGAGTTAGAGCGGTGCTAAGAATTAGGCTTATGAAATGCAGTTACGTGGCGGTACACATTCACTGAGAGAGAAACTGCAGTATGATCTGGAACTGAGGTTTAGGTAAGTGTAGGTTTTCAGGATGTTGATACGAAAATCTTTCCACACGGGATACTACTCTACCTTATCCCCTATCACTCTGTAGCAGTTATGTTTATTCCTTTCACACTGCTGCTGACTTCATGCTTCCCAACATTCCTCCAAAAAGCTCCTTATAGACTTTTTCCCTGTCTAGTTAAAGAGGTAAACAGTTGATGGAAAAGGCTGGAGGTTCCCAGCAGGAAGTGCTGGGGCCCCACTTTGCTGATGTGGTTTCTGCTTCTCTTAGGACGGTAGCTCTTAGCTGCCCCCTGTGGGTGGAAGTGTGGTTTCCTTCAAGGTCCTTGAGTTCCGGACTCACCAGAGGGTGCCCGGCTCATGGGGTAGAGAAGAGTCAACCAGTTTAAAGTCGTAAAACACATCCCTTGGTTGCTAATTTTCTTATGTAGTTTTTTTGTGTGGTTTTCTTCCAGATTGAGCCCAAGTTGATTGGCTTCAGCTTCCTGTTTCCTGCTTCCCTCGCACTGTATCTCCGGGTTTTTCCTTCTTGCTCACTTAGTCATCTATTATGTTGCTATGTACGAGGCTTCCTGCTAGGACCCCGGAAGAGGAAAGTGAATAAAACGTGGTTCCCTGAACTTCAGCGCACAGTGAGCTGGGGGAGACAGAAATGTAACTCATGGTGAGTGACTCTTGTCTTAGCTTCGTCGTCTTTTATTTTTTTCCATTCAGTGCGACTGCATCAGTTTCCTGGCTGGGGCATGTTCCTAAACTGGTTTTAGTTAATGTATAGATTATCTAGAAATGTAAGTCGTCATCATTATTAGTATGCCCCGTGTCTGAAGCTTTTGAATGCCTCTAATTCGTAGAGCCCTTGGTTACCAGTGAAATGTGTGTGGGAAACAGTAACCTTAAGGACCATTAGAAAGTTATTTTTAGATCATTCTGATTTTGAGTGTGTGTGATTTTTGTGTTATTTTTAAAAAACAAACCCTCCCATCTCAGATATTATACATATTTCACATGTGTATATATATTTATAAATATCTATAAACATAAACATATGTAAGTATATAAATGTCACTATATATTTCTAAAAGATAAGGACTCTTTAAAAAGTAACCATAGTACCATTATCACACCTAAAAATTGACCAGTAATTCCTTAATATCAAATATCCAGTCAAGTTTCACTGATTTTTATCATAAGCTTATAATTTTACAGCTCATGTGTTGGAATTAGGATCTTTTGGTAAGTCCATATGTCAAGGTGCCTCTTAAATCTCTTTTTTAATCTACAGTTTTCCCCTCATGTTCTTTATTTTTCCTTGCAATTTATTTGTTGAAGAAACTGAGTAATTTATCCAAGAGGGTTTTTCATAGCCTGGGTTTTGCCGATTGCTTCCCCTTGATATTTGATCTGTTCCTCGGTTCTCTGTATTTCCATAAAACTAGTAGTTAGAGCTAAAGGTCTGGACTTGAGTTTAAGGTAGAAATACCTCCTGAGTGATGGCACGTACATTGTGATCAGGAGACGCAAAATGCTTGCTTCTCTCTGTAACGTGAGCAGCCCTTGATGGTCGTTACCTCGACCCACTGGCTCGTAAGATGTTGCTAATGGTAATATTTAATTCTATCATAACTTCTTATGGCTTAGATGGAATACTAAAGAGAAACTTTTCTCATTAACGTTTGATTACCATGAAATGCAGTTTGTCCTGGAAAGGCAAAGTAAAGGCTTGATTCTTTTCTTCTATAAATAGTTTTTAAAGGATGTAAACACTGAAGATTTCAGAGGCTGTAGGCCCCCTCACCCGTCTAGTTTTCTCCTTCTTCCTTTGGTTCCTCTGAGATCTGGAGTTTTACTCATTCATATTCTCTCTTTCATCCAACTTTGTGGGCTTTGGAGAAAGAATTGTAAACTCATTCACACTAAAGTGCAAATGACTAATAACAGTTTACAGCATGACTTTTCCAGAGAGATTTTCTGTTGAACTTGCATCAACGTCTTAAATTAGAGAAATGAGATGAAGCTTCTTGGAGAAGACTAGCATTTGTATGCACTTAACTATTCTGTGTCGGCTGCCGTAGTAAATGATTTACATGTGTTGTCTCGTTTAGCACCCACAGTGGCCCTATGAGTAAGGTATTCGTTTTACCCCCATTTTACAGATGTGAAGAACAGGGCTCAGCTAAAAAGTGACGGAGGTGAACCTAAAGCCTGGGTAGTCTGGCTTGAAAGCCGGAGCTTTGAGCCTGCCTTTAGATGTAATGTCAGGCATCTTGAATAGGAGAAGAGGGGTAGGGGGAGAGGAGGGCTTCCCAAGCTTGAGATCATCAGCCTGACAGATCTGTTACTTTACTGGGTCCATGTGTAAGGTAGAGCCTGGCAATCACCCACAAAACCAAAGATGTGCCTCCAGGGGTGTTAACTGTGGAACTGTTCCCAGCAGCAGTGATGTCTCTGCTCATCGGGATCCTGGTTACTTTCCCGGCTTCTCTTCCCTCTTCGTTCACGTGGTCCAGCCACACTGGCCTTTTTCCTGCTTCTCAAACATGCCAAGCTCCATTCATCGCCTATTCTTTCCCTGGGTTTTTATAGCCTGGCTTCTTCTCCACATTTCGGTCTTAGCTTAAATGTCAGCCCCCCCAGAGACATTTCCCCGACCATCCTGTCTAAAGTAGCTACTCCCTACCTCCCAGTCACTCTCTTTCCCAGTTCTCAGTGTCTTTTCTCTTATTACCACTTGAAACTATCTTCCCTCTTTCCCTATCAGAACATGGGGAGAACGTGGCCAGTTTTGTCCCCAGCTGGATCCTTGGAGCCTGGCACATGATAGGCACTCAGAAAGCCTTTGTTGAATGAGTGAGTTGGTTCAGGCAGCCTGTGCTCGTGGCATCCTACGTGGTGGCCTGTCTTCCCACCCCAAATCCATCATCATTGGTTCCAGTTAACCACAGGAACTGCCATAGCTGTTATAGTCTGCTCTTCCATCTAGAAAGTCAAAGGTTTCTGCCTTCTGTATTTATAACCAACGCTTAACAAAAATGGCCAGACTTAGTTCCAGTTATAAATTCGGCTGAGGTCCAAGATGATTCATATTTTAACAAAAACCTGTTTGCTTAAGCTTCGTCTGTTTCCCCTGACACAGATTGTGCTGGGAAAAGGAAAGACGTGGGGGAACCTGTTTTTTGGCCACTTTTTTCCTTTTTCCTTTTTCTTTTTCTTTTTTTTTTTTTTTTTAGCAGAGAAAGGTTTATTGCAGGGCCAAGCAAGGAGAGGGTGTTGGCCACTTTTCATAGCAGATCCCCAACTCTTCAGTTTTGAAATGGGGCATCTGTCTTAGCTTGTGCTGCTATAACAAAACACCAAGACTGGTGGCTTACATTATAGACATTGATTCCTCACAGTTCTGGAGGCTGGCAAATCCAAGATCAAGGTTCTGGCGGATTCAGTTTCCGGTGAGGGCTGTCTTGGCTTGCAGATGGCTGCCATCTTGCTGTGTCCTCACAGGGCAGAGAGACAGGGAAAGAGCTTTTGATGCCCTTTCTTTTCTCAGAAGGTAAGTAATTCTATCACGGGGGTCCTGCTTTCTTGATCTCATCTAAACCTAGTTACTTCTCAAAGACCTCACCTGCAAAGACTATCATGTTGAGGGGTTAGGACTTCAATGTTTGAATTCGGGGGTATGCAAACATTCAGTTCATAATAGCATCTCTCACATTCTTCCTTCTTGATGTGAACATTGAATACCTCCAGGTGAAGACTATGACAGAAGTGGAAGCAGCTCAGGCATCATTTTTGTTTGTTTTTTGCATTCTTTTTTAAATTGGAGTACAGTTTACAATGTTGTGTCCATTTCTGCAGTACAGCATAATGTTTCAGTCGTACAGATACACACATACACTCCTTTTCATATTCTTTTCCATTACAGGTTATTACAAGATATTGAATATAGTCCCCTGTGCTCTACAGTATAAACTTGTTTATCTATTTTATATATAGTAGTTAGTATTGTATATAGTAGTTAGTATCTGCAAATTTTGAACTTCCGATTTATTCCTTCCCACCCCCTTTACCTAATAAGTTTTGTTCTCTATGTCTGTGAGTCTGTTTTTGTTTTGTAAATAAGTTCATTTGTGTCAGACATTGTTCCAAAGCTGGTTGGCAGAAGTGCCCGCTGTCCTACCGAACTAAACCCGAAGCTTGTGGGTTTGCATCGGAGTTCACTGACGGCTTGGGAGGCAGTTTACAGGGTGCTACAGCGGGTGGTCCTAGCATCCCCTGCATCAGAACCACCTGGCTGGGGGTGGTGGTGTTTAAAATGCAGATTACTAGCCCCGTGCCAGTCCCCTAGTCAGGTCGCCTGAGTCAGCGTCTTGAGGAGTGGGGGTGGGGCCTGCGACCGCATTTTGAAAAGTACTCAGGTATACCTTATATTCCCTAAAGTTTGAAGTAAGAAGCGAGATTATCCTGTACCACAGCCTGCTTATCTCAGGGAGCCCGAGGTGAGTCGTCTGTCACTTCACCAGTTCTCCCTGGGGTTTTTGCGTCTGGCTTGCTTACTTTCTGTTTCACAGGAGTGTGAAAAGTGAGACTTCCTAACAAAAGATATCTCCAAACATTGCTAGAAGCCTCCCCTGTCACAAGAACTTCCTTTGCTCTTTAAAAACAATTTTTTTTTTTAAATGTAGGTACTGGGGATTGAACCCAGGACCTTGCCTTTTGCTCTGTTAGACGTTGCCTTTAATTTTTTTTTAAAACCTGAGGAAAGGCTTAGTTTATCTTCACCTTGATATAAACATGGTTTAATATTCAAAGTTTGGGCCTCAAACATCTCTCTCCTGTGTTTTTGTTTTTGTGTCTATGGGTCTTTCTCTGAAAGATTTCCCCCACACCACTCATTTCTCTTTTTTCCTTTTCCTTTTACTCATCTGAATCCTCTCCATCCTTAAAGAACAAATTCAAGTCTATCTGCGTCCGCTAAATTCCATCTACCCCAGGCTTTTTTCCCTTGAATTCTCAAAGTAGTTGTACCACATTGTTGATTATGTAATTGTGTTCTCTCTGTGTTACAAATTTAAGGACAGAGTCTGAAAGGCACTTTTTTTTAAGTTGAAGTATAGTTGATTTACAATATTGTGTTAGTTTCAGGCCTGAATTGTATTTTTGTTGAATATCTGGTAAGCATAATAAGACCAGGTTGATTGACTGGATCTGTAAGTGAGCATTGCAGAAGCATTGGAAGGGATACAGCTAGATTGAATATAATCACTACAGCTTATGAAGGAGGGAAATTTAAAAGGAAACATCACAAAGTTTCTGGTATATATTTATACTATTGATGGGAGGATGGATTTTTGGTAGGTATAGACTTGCTAGTCTACCCAATATATTCAAAAACAGGTCTTGTACTAGAAACACAAATCTTTATGCTTTTGTTTATTAAAGTTTTTTTGGAGTGAGCAATGCCAATTTGTATTGATCAAATTGTTTTTCAGATGGAAATGAGGCAAGACTTTTTAGAAAACTTGAGGAAGTAGACAAAAATGAATCCCTGTGTTGTAGAAAAGGTTACGTACATTTTCTTGTTCCATGCTAAAAAGTTTTTAACAGTTTTCTGCAGAATTCTTTTCAGATAAATTCCTTTGGATCTAATAAAGATGAAATCCGATTTTCACC